TAAGAACCTTTGAGGAAACATGAAGAAGACAAAGTCGTTCTATCTTATACATGTGGACACATTTTTATGTGGAGGAAATAAATCCAGGTTGTATGAAAAATTGCATATGAACCCAGCCATGCCTCTTCATTTTTATTGAAATACTTGTCACTGAAATAAATCTGCTTTCCTAGTTCATCTGTTTCAGTTCTATTTTCTCAGTCTTGGGTTTCAGGTTTTTGTTGGGCACGGTCAGGGGCTTAGATTATTTAGCTCCTTGTGTTTTCTCTAGGGTGGAACTTTCTAGCAGAGGTGCAAATTGAAAGTGACGGAAAGTCTCGATCTTGAGATTAGAAGCTCCATTGAGAAACCCTTTTGTTGACTTGGAGATTTCAACGGAAGAGTCAGTGTTTTAGCTGTATGAAATCCTTGAAAAATAAGCATTTATTATGCGGTTCCACTAAACATGTATGTGACTTTGATGCCCGCCCGTCATATCTCAGATCCCCTTGGAGCTGGAAGGGGGCTTAGAGAGCACCTAATCCAAAGCTTCATCTTTCGTATGAAGAAACAGGCCGTGTACAAATGTGGAACATGACATCTAACAAAAAGGAAAGAAGATGATAAACACAAAATTCAAGACAGTAGTTATCTTCAGGGGAGAAGCCAGGGAGATGGATCAGTAAAAAACCCAGTGTATTAATACTCTGTTCAGTAAGTTGGGTGGTAGGATCCCTGGCGTTCGTCTTATTAGGCTTCGTGTGTGTGTGTTAAACATCATATAGTTTCAAAACATTAGGAACAACAAGTATGTAGTCACAGAGCGGCTGCTGTCGCCAAGCCACCGTTCTTACCTGCCGTTTACATACTTTAACCCAGGGTGACGGAAAAGGAGGCTTCAAGACCATGATCTTTGCCAAGGATCTGTAGCTCGTCAGTACTGGCTGTGACCATATCCCGGGACATCTGATTTACTGCCTGTGGCTTCTAGACCCATCCTGCTTCCCTAAATGGCAATTTGCACTCGACCTCTCACTCTTCCGGGCTGTGAGTTTCCTCCTGAACTCATTTCCACGTCTGTCAGCTTCGTGGTCATCACTTCAGTGGCCTGAATCAGCACCCGGAGTTTTCTCCACCCCACTGCTCTTTTACTGTCTCTGCTTCACCAATTCCCACGTTAAGTGAAACCCACCATCTCTTATACTGCATTTCTTCTAGGATTATTGAGCATAGTGGTAGAAAATCACGTGAATTTGCCAACTGACTCCACTGTAGATGTAGGATTCCTTAACTCAGATACTCATTCCTGTTTGGCCTTTTCAGACTTACCTCGTAACCACGGCATTCTTTTTATTATTCTCGACTCTGTAGTCCTTATATCCCACCCTTACTTTCAGCAGACAGCTTTGCCTTTTACTCTCTAGAGAAAATACTGGTCATCAAACATCCTTTTTTCCCCCATCCCTAGACTAAATTCTCAGAGCATCCACTTTTCCTTTATTTCAGGGGTATGCTTCCTCTCCGAGGCTAGCCTCTTCCTTTTACCTGTGCTGTATCCCAGTGTATTCGTCACCTGTTGGTGCATAACGAGTTTCCCCAGAGCATCGTGGATTAAAACAGTGATGAACATCTACTACCCCCACAGCCTCTATGGGTAAGGAACCCAGGAGTGACGTAGGTGGGTAATCCTGGCTCGGGGTCTTTGATGCGACACGCAACATGTCAGCCAGGGCTGCAGTTCTCCGTAGACTTGCCTGGGGCTGGAGGATTTGCTTCTAAGGTGGATCACTTACTTGCTTGGCACATCAGAAGTTTGAGTGTCTTCACCACATGTCGAATGCCTTCCTCCTGAGTAAGTCAGCAAAATGGAAACTGTAAATTCTTTTATGACCTAACTTGAGAAGTCACAGGACATTATTTCTACAATATGCTTTTGGTTACACGGCTGAGAGCCCCCTTCAGTGCAGGAGGGGATTTCACAAGAGCTGAATACCAGGAGGCAAGGATCAGTGGGGGGCGGCTGGCTATCACGCCTGCTCCTGTCTTCTGATATCTTCCATAAGGCATTTTCTCTTTACCTTAATTTTATTTCTCTCTAACTCTTTTCCCTATAGGTGTTACATTTTTCATTAATAGTCTTTCATCTTGAACTGTTTAATCTACAAAAGTACTAAGCTTACATGTGTTCTTTAAAAAACACACAACCTTTCCCAGCCCCATGCACCAAATAAATGAATAAAATTAAAAATAGAGGCACCGGCTGGCTCAGCCAGGGAGCATGTGACTCTTGATCTCAGGGTTGTGGATTAGAGCCCTATGTGGGGTGTAGAGATTACTTAAAAATGAAATCTTTATTTTTTTTTTAAAAGATTTTATTTAGGGCACCCGGGTGGCTCAGCAGTTTAGCGCCTCCTTCACCCCAGGGCCTGATCCTGGAGGCACAGGATCGAGTCCCGCATCGGGCTCCCTGCATGGAGCCTGCTTCTCCCTCTGCCTCTGTCTCTGTCTCTCATGAATAAATGAAATAATTTTAAAAATAAATAAAGATTTTATTTATTCAGGAGAAACAGAGGCAGAGGGAGAAGCAGGCTCCTGCAGGGAGCCCAATGTGAGACTCAGTCCTGGGACCCTGGGGTCATGCCCTGGGCCGAAGGCAGACACTGAACCACTGAGCCACCCCAGGTGTCCTAAAAATAAAATCTTTTAAAATATATCCATAAAAATGAACACACACTTTGTCCCCCAATATTGATCCAGGTTTAGTCGTGGAAAATATCCATTGAGCTGGTCTAAGCAGGAAGGCTAGAGAAACACTCTAGCCTGGACCTCCAGAAACCACTCCCAAAGTCTAGTCAGAAGTCTTTGCTGCGGGGATCCCTGGTGGCTCGGTGGTTTAGCGCCTGCCTTCGGCCCAGGGCATGATCCTGGAGACCGGGGATCGAGTCCCGCGTCGGGCTCCCTGCACGGAGCCTGCTTCTCCCTCTGCCCGTGTCTCTGCCTCTCTCTCTCTCTCTCTCTCTCTCTTTCATGAATAAATAAATAAAATCTTAAAAAAAAAAGAAAAGGCTTTGCTGCTCCTATAGTAGTTAGGAAGCCACCGGTACAGCTGCCAGTTCAAGAAGTGACGATAGGGCTCCCACCCACAAGTATCACAAGAAACGACCTCCTGCTCCTAAAGATTTTATGTATGTATTTGACAGCACAAGCAGGAGACGGAGGGGGAGGCAGGCCCCCCACTGAGCAGGGAGCCCAGTGTGGGGCTCTACCCCAGGACCCTGGGATCATGACAGGTGTTTGAGCCACCCAGGCACCCTGTTCATACTATTTTGAATAGCATTTATTGAGTTGCGTTGTAATTATCTTCTAAATGCCTGCATCAGTCACGGTTTAGAGCGGGAAACAAGCCACACTCACTATCAGTATTTTTAAGCAAAAAAGAAACTTAATACCAAGCGTGTGAAGTGCTGACACAGTCGTTTGTGGCTGGAGAAGCCGACCAGGGGGGCCCCCCTAGGAGTGATTCCCAGGACACCACTGAACTAACCCACCACGGGAGCTGCAGGCTCCATGGCCACCGGATACTGAGTGTGAGGACGCAGCACCGTGACCACAGTCCAGGCATCAGGAAGCTGCACAAACGATCCCACACGTATACAGTATCAGATGCTGACCGAGCTACCGACCAGCGTAAATACCCAGATGCGTGGTCAGCAGAGAAGGAAAGCGGAACCTAGATACTCAGTCCCCGATGCACCGCGAGTTTGCCCGAGGCTGTGTTGAGGTTTTAGATATTTGTTTCATAAAAATAGGTCAGTCTTTTTTTTTTTCAAGGAAATCAGCTACTTTCAAAGTTCAAAGAAAAAAGTACCATATGCCAACCTGACTCCCTGTTTAAAAAAAAAAAAAAAAGGTCAAAAACGTATTGCTGCAGTAGTGAGTGCCCAGTGGGCAAAACTCGGCGAGGAAAGTGGCCGGGGAAGCAGTTGGGAGAGGGAACGTTGAGATGGGAGTGCGCGGCCTTGTCTTCAGTCTGGGGGCAGCCCCACAACCTCGGGAACCTCCCTCCTCCCCCACGGGGGATCGAGCTACGTGGCCGCCAAGGTCTGTCCAGCCCTCCAGTGGCCGCCAGGGCCCGTCCAGCCCTCCAGTGGCCGCCAGGGCCCGTCCAGCCCTCCAGTGGCCACCAGGGCCCGTCCAGCCCTCCAGTTCTGTTCTGCAGTCGAAGACTCTGCAGGCGTCTCTAGGGCTCGCTTTCCTTCTGATCCTTGTCTAAGAAGTTCCCGCGAACCTTAGAGCACTGAGGCGAGCACCGGGAGGAGGGCGTGGAGAGTGAGGGCCTCTAGCCTTCCCGTACTGAGCCCCACGGCCGCGTTACAACCACAGCAGAGCAGCTCGGGGGTCCCCTGATTTCCCAATTTGGAGTTTTGGTTAATCTGCCCCCAGATGTCAAGGGGGAAAGGAATTCTTTAGAGAACCGTCGCTCGGGGCGCCTGGGTGGCCCCTTGGTTAGGGGGCTGGTCGGCTCGGGAGCCTGCTCTCCTCCCTCCCTGCCTGTGCTCCCTGGCGCGGTCCTTGTCTCTCCCTCAAATAAATAAACCTTTTTAAAAAATGAAATAAAAAAAGAACCATCACTCATTCTAGGAGCCAGAAAGGCCATCACAGCCTCAAAAGCCAGGCTTGTTAGAAAGTGCAAAAGCGGCCTCTGGGGACGCCCGGGGGCTCGGCATCTGCCTTCTGCCCAGGGCGTGACCCCGGGTCCCGGGATCGAGTCCCGCGTCGGGCTCCCTGCATGGAGCCTGCGTCTCCCTCTGCCTGCGTGTCTGTGTCCCTCATGGATCAGTCTTTGAAAAAAGCAAGCAAAGCGGGCTCTAGGCTGCGTCTGCGAGGCTGGAGATTAAATGGAGCTTTCCGCACGTCCCCACGTCCTCCTCGGGGTGGGTGGTCACGGCCCGTCGTTCCGCGCCGGCCGCCGCCTAGTTTGCTCCAAGGCGGGTTGGCCAGCTCCAGCCGTGTCCCTCCAGCCGCGACCCTCCAGCCGCGACCCTCCAGCCAAATCCCTCCAGCCGCGTCTCAGCTGTGGGACAAACGCCGGCTTGTCCGGCCGCGCACCCACCGGGCCAGCAGGTGCCGAGCGCAGCCTCTCCAGGGCCTGGGGCAGGCGGGTCCCCCCAGCAGAAGGCAGCTGGGAGCCAGCGAGCGGCGGGTCCGCAGCCACGGGGGAGGCCAAGGCCGTGTGGCCGGGCCCACGCAGAGCCGGGGGGAGGAGCGCGGGCACCTGCGCTAGGGACAGCCCTGCCCGCGGGCCGCGTGCGGGCCCAGGCACCGCTCCTCCAGGCGTGGTCCGCACATCACCCACGTCATAACGGCTCGGGTGCTTATTTTATTTTAAATCATATTTATTTATTCATGAGAGACACAGAGAGAGACAGAGACACGGGCAGAGGGAGAAGCAGGCTCCATGCGGGGAGCCCGACGCGGGACTCGATTCCAGGACCGGGGGGCGGGGGGATGCGGGGTCCTGCCCTGGGCCGAAGGCAGACGCTCACCCGCGGAGCCCCCCTCCCCGGCGTCCCGGGTGCTTATTTTAAAATGCAGATTCCTGGGCTTGGGTCCAGACATCCTGCGTCAGAATCTCCGGAAGCAGCGCACAGGAGCCTCTTCAGGATACAGCTCGTATCATTCTTACGTACAGTAAAGTCTCTCAAACCACATATTACTTTGAGTAAAGGCTTTTTAGGAGTTTACAAGGAAGATAATGGCACTATTTGAGTTTTGATGGACCCAGGTCCTTAATGGATCCTTAAGAAACCCCACCCGCTAGCCATGAAGAGTATAGCGTAGTCGTGATTAAGAACGTAAAGATGAGGGATCCCTGGGTGGCGCAGCGGTTTGGCGCCTGCCTTTGGCCCAGGGCGTGATCCTGGAGACCCAGGATCGAATTCCACGTCGGGCTCCCGGTGCATGGAGCCTGCTTCTCCCTCTGCCTATGTCTCTGCCTCTCTCTCCCTCTCTGTCTCTGTGACTATCATAAATAAATAAAAAAAAAAAATTTAAAAAAAAAAAAAAAAAAAAAAGAACGTAAAGATGATAAAGGAACAGCACCTGAACCATAAGATCATTTAAAAGTATAAATGGGGGGAAAAGGTACTAAAGTTTTTAGCAGCGTTAACAGCAAACACTCAGTGCATTTTCGCTGTGATGGGTAAACTGAGGATACCTAAGTCACCGATGACAGACACAAGTGGCACAAGGTTATCTCCATAAATTGTATTCACATCTTGATTTCTTCCTTTTAAATTTTTTTAAAGATTTTACTTGAGAGGGATCCCTGGGTGGCGCAGCGGTTTGGCGCCTGCCTTTGACCCAGGGCGCGATCCTGGAGACCCGGGATCGAATCCCACGTCGGGCTCCCGGTGCATGGAGCCTGCTTCTCCCTCTGCCTGTGTCTCTGCCTCTCTCTCTCTCTCTCACTGTGTGACTATCATAAAAAATTAAAAAAAAAGATTTTACTTGAGAGACTATAGGGTGGGGCAGAAAGGGGAAGGAGAGGGAGAGAATCTTAAGCAGACTGTGTGCTGAGCACGGAGCCCGATGGGACCCTGAGACCGTGACTGAGCCACTAAGACACCCCTCAAATTTTTGTATTAGAAGAAATGAGGGGCACCTGGTGGGTCAGCGGTTAGCGCCGCCTTCAGCTGCGGGCGTGACCCCGGGGCCCAGGATCGAGTCCCACGTCGGGCTCCCTGCAGGGAGCCTGCTTCTCCCTCTGCCTCTGTCTCGGCCTCCCTCTCTCCATCATGAATAATGATTTTTTTTTATCTTAAAAAAAAAAAAGAAATTAGGGTACCTGGGTGGCATAGCCGGTTAAGCACCAGGCTCTTGGTTTCAGCTCAGGCTGCAGTGTCGGGGTCCGGAGATGAGCGCCCCCATCGACTCCCTGCTCAGCGCCGACGGCTTGAGGCTCTCCCCCCCCGCCCCTCTCCCACCCCACCCCAGCTCGTGCGCACCCACGCCCTCTCTGTGTCCAAAAAAAAATAAAATAAATTGAACCAATTTGAAAGACCAAGGGCATCCATCCTTTCAGTCAAGGTGTGGCATTTACCTGGTGGATCGCGATGTCCCCTGTTCCCAGCCCTCTGCCCTCCGTGGACCGATGGTGTCGCGTGCTCCCGTCACGTGCTCTGATCAATATCGAGGGTGTTCATTGACCTTGCTGCGTGTCACCGTGCCGGGTCCACCGGGGAGCTGTCACTACGTACACGTGGCCTTCGCCTCAGAGGAGGGAGCCCAGGGCCCCAGGGGTCAGCCAGCCCGTGGCCCCCACGTGGCTCGGGTCGCCAGCGGGTTTGAGAGGGGTTGTCTCTGCTGGAGGCCGTGGGAGAGACCAGCCGCGGGCGTGGGGGGACGGTGGGGAGGACGGGCCCACCCACGGCACCCGTACCCCCGTCTGTCAGGCAGCAGGGGACAGACGGACAAACAAGGGCAGTCCTTTCCCTCTGTCCCCCTTCTCGCTGCTCCTGCGGCCAGCAGGCACGTGTGACCCTTGCCCACGGCTGACGTGCCCGCTGCCCTCTGCTCGGGGCGCGGCTGCCAGGCGTGCGGAGGGCACGGACACCCCACCTGGGACCAGTGGCGCCGAGGGAGGCGCGGTGTCCGGCCTCGGACAGACGGCTGGACGGCGAAGGAACCGCGAGGGGCTGTGCCCAGCTCGCCCTCGAGTCGGTTCTTCCGCAGGCTTGAGCCTTGGGATAAAGGCGGGGCGCTGGGGGCTGCCAGCTGGGGGGGGGGGCGGGCCCGGCTGCCGATCCCTTGGGCGCCCAGCAGGTGGAGGCACAGACTCGGCGGTCGGGCGGCCGGGGCCGGTGCTGGGCAGCGGGGCTTGGGGGCTTCCAGAGTCCTCGGGAGTCCTCCCGGCCCCCCTCACCCTGCCTGCGACCTCCCATCTCTCCCCCTTCCCTTCCTTGGAGCCTGACTTCACCGAAGGCCTGGCAGCTTTGGTGGGTTTTTTTTGTTTTTTTTAAGTTTGGTTGGTTGCTTATTTTTAAAGATTTTATGTATTTGAGAGAGAGGGGCAGGGAGGGTGCCCGCGGAGGGAGGGGCAGGGAGAATCTCGAGCTCGGAGCCTATTCACGGGGCTCCATCCCACAGCCCCGAGACGGCGACCTGAGCCGAAACCAAGAGTCCGATGCTGGACCAAGCTGGCCAGATGCCCCTTATTTATTTATGTATTTATTCATTCATTCATTCATTTTAAAGATTATTCATTTATTCATGAGAGACACAGAGAGAGGCAGAGACCCAGGCAGAGGGAGAAGCAGGCCCCACGCAGGAGCCCGACGCGGGACTCGATCCCGGGACCCCAGGGTCACGCCCTGGGCTGAAGGCGGATGCTCAAGCGCTGAGCCACCCGGGCGTCCCCCCTTATTTATTTATTTATTTTGAGTAATCTCAGCGCCCCACGTGGGGCTTGAACTCACGTCTCCACGCTCATCTGACCCGGCGGCATCCGACACGAGGGGAGGAGCGGGACACGGAGGACTCCTCGGCGAGGGAGAGCTGGGAAGATGGGAACCGCGGAGGGGTCTCCCCGGGAAGGAGTTTCCCGAAGCGCAGGCCTGTGCCCTTCAGCTCGGGCTCGGGCTGGCAGGGAGGTGTCCCTCTGCCCGTCTGGAGGTGCCGACGTCCTAGGCCCACGCAGAGACCGTCCTTCGGAGATTCCCACACATCTAGGAACCTCGGGTGACAAAGCAGGACCGGCCCACGGGGCCAGATGCCGCCCGGGTGTGCAGCCAGCACCTGGCCTCCGTGGATGCCAAGCGGCAAGCTGACGCGCGGTGGGCACCAGGCCACGACCGCCAGGGGGACACAGCCAGCCTGCCAAAGCGGGGACCGACCCAGGGCACCGAGCCCATCGCTTCCCTGCCGCGAGCTGAGCGGAGCCCGGGAACCCGAGCGCCCTTCTGTACGGCGCAGGGCCTCAGCCATATCGTGTCTCTGGGCCTCAGCTTCCTTCTCTGTAAAATAAGCACAGTGAGTAGAGGTGTCCTGAACGGCTTCCTCCTGCGGTGTCCGCTGTTTAACCTGGAGAAGCGACGGACCCCCCCACCCCCAAGGGCACCCACAGGATCCTGCGTGACCCCAGCTGACGCTGCGTCCAAACTACGGGAACGGGGGCCCCTGGGGGGCTCCGTCGGCTGAGCCGCTGCCTTCGGCCCAGGCATGACCCCGGGTCCCGGGACCAAGTCCCACGTCGGGCTCCCCACTTGGCAGAGGGTTGCTGCTCTTTCCCTCTGCCACTCCGCCTGCTTGTGCGCGCTCGCTCTCCCTGTCAAATGAGTAAAATCTTTAAAAAAAAAAAAAAGGATCCGTGGGTGGCTCATGGGTTGAGCATCTGCCTTCGGCTCAGGTAATGACCCTGCGGTCCCGGGATCGAGTCCCACGTCGGGCCCCCTGCGTGGAGCCTGCTTCTCCCTCTGCCTGTGTCTCTGCCTCTCTCTGTGTCTCTCATGAGTAAATAAAGAAAATATTTTAAAATAAAAGAGTTTTTAAAAAGCCAAGCGCCGTCCTCGGTAGAGGGGTACAGGGGAGCACGCGGTGCACAGGGGGGCTCGGTAGGGTCCGGGCTCCAGGTGGCCGGTGGGGCCCAGGGCGTGTGCCCGCGGCGGGGGTGGCGCTGTGGTGTCCACGCCGCGTGGCACCCGCGTGGCCGGCCCACACCTGTGCCGTGGGGCTGCAGAGTGGCCCTTCCTCCCTTCACGGCGCCGACTGGCTCGGGCTGCCTGGTCCCCGGGGAGGGCCTGTGCCTGCACCCACCCTTCCTCTGCCTCCAGGGCTGCCTCCCCTCCCAGTCCCTCGGTGTCGCGACTGCTGGAGACACAGCCTCCCCCTGACCCCAGGCACGAGGGCGGGGACAGCCCCACTGACAGATGCCGGTCCCCCCCTGTCCCCGCCTCTGCTCTGGGGAATCCTGAAGCCCAGGGACGTTGGTGAACATCTCGCCTTTGCTCGTTCGCGCGCACCTGCGGAGCTGGGGGGGGGGGGGGCGTCCCGCTGGCACCGCACCCATGGGCCTGAGCCCCGGCAGCAGCAGGGACGCGGGACGCATGGATCCTCCTTTCTGGGAACGTGTCACCTACGCTGCACAACCATGAATGCATCACAAATGCGGCGACTCGGAACGACCCCGAGCGTTGGCTCCCCGACAGCTCCTCTGGGCCAGGAGCTCACCGGCAGCTCGGCTGGGCGCTCTGGCCGCCCCCCCCCCGCGGCTGTGGTCTCCCCAAG